TGATATCCCACCATTACCAGCTTATGTTGCCTGAAAAAGCAAGACCAATTGCTTCTGAGTTCAATGCTCATCCTTACTCATCAGTGTATCAGTTCAAACAATTTCATTCTATTGAAAAAATCAATTCACCTGCCACAATAGTTGCTCTTTTATCACCGAATCCAATACATTGCATGTATCAAAAATTTATGTAACCAGAAAACCCTCTTCCATTGTAAAATCGTTGTCTGATACATACCCAACCTTCTTCATTTTCACATGAAGATCATGAATTAAAGAATAAATAAGATTAGCTTCGCTATGTGATTTATCACCAACTACAAACACATGAACCTTGTTTCCGACATCAATCCAGCTACAACCCGGCTGCTTCTTCAACCCCTTGTCCTTCATTTTCAACCTAAGTCTCGCAGCTTCTCTCCATTTCCCACTTGAAGCATATATGTTAGACAGCAACATATAAGTACCTGCATTTTCTGGCTCTAATTCCAAAAGTCTCTTTGCAGCCAATTTCCCCATATTTGTGTTCCCGTGAACATAACATCCAGCAAGAAAAGCCCCCCAAACAGAACCAGAAGGCTCAAATGGAAGCTGCTGAATAAAATCAAAAGCCTCCTTGACCCTCCCCGCTCGACCACAAAGACCAACCAAGCATGAATAGTGATCTTGTCGCACTTGTATTGATTTGTCTTTTATGAGCTCGTCAAAGTACTTCAATCCCTCGTCCACCAAACCAGCATGGCTGCACGCTGCAACGTATGTAACATCATTGGGTTTGATTCCTAAGTTCTGCATTTCTTTGAAAAGGCTGATTGCCTCACCGCCACATCCATGGTGAGCATAGGCTGCAATCATTCCATTCCATGAGATCAAATCTCTCTGGCCTGCAAATCCATCATCGAACATTTTCCTAGCAGTACTTAATTCTCCACACTTAGAGTACATATTTATAAGTGCTGATATCACAAATGCACCATTTTGATGTACTGTCTTGCAAATTACCTGGTGAATTTGATGTCCTTCGCTAAGACCGGCTAAATTACTACAAGCAGCCAAAACACTTACGAAAGTTCCCTGATTTGGCTTTACGCCATTGGCCGCCTGCATTCTTGAGAAGATTCTTAACGCCTCTTCACTTTGACCATCTTGGATGTACCCAGTAATCATGGTTGTCCAAGAGATGACATTCTTATCGGGCATTTCATTGAATAACTTATCCGCCTTCTTTAAATTCCCATTTTGGATAAACCCTGTGATCATTGCATTCCACGAAGGAATATCCCTCTCCGGCATCCTCTCAAACAATTCAAGTGCTTCTTCCAACCTTAAATTCTTTGCGTATCCTGTAATCATAACATTCCATGAAACTACATTTCTTTCTGGCATTATGTCAAAAAGCACCCGAGCTTCGTCAATCCTCCCATTTTTTGACAAACCATCAATCATCGCAGTCCAAGAAAACACATTTCTTTTGGGCATATAATCAAAAAGCTTCCTAGCCTCCTCAATTCTCCCACATCAACCCAACGCTGTTATAACTGCATTTCAAGAAACCAAATTCCTCTCAGGCATTTTCTCAAATAGACTCAATGCTGAATCTATTAGATTACTTTGCAAATACCCCTTAATCATAGTGTTCCAAGAAACCAAATTCTTGTGAGGCATCTCATTAAATAGCTTCTCCGCCTCTGAAATCTGATTCATTCGTATGTACCCACTAACCATAGCAGTCCAAGTGACCACATTTTTCTTAGCATCCACTCTATCAAACAAACTCCTTGCTTCTCCAATCATTCCGCGATGTATGTAAGCCGAGATAACACTCATCCACGCAATCACATCTGGGTCGGGCATTTTATCAAACAATTTTCGTGCTTCGACAATTTGACCCTCTCTGCATAGCTTCGTGATCATCCAATTTGTCTGTTTCACGCTTTGATATACGAACTATCCATTTTGGGTATCGATAATTCGGCAATTCTGAATTGATTTGCTGAGTGATATAGATAGGATTGAGATTCCCATTGAAGCTTGAGATTGCATAGTTTAAGCGCAAGAGTTCGAATAGACCTCAAAAGGGGATATATTGTAAAATCTCTAGCATGTCTCGAAGCAATTGAAAGCCTAGAAGATGATTGCATAGATGACATAAATGCAACGAAGCAAGTGGTTTGAACTCTGTAACGGTCATCAACGGTATTATTACTCCATGAATCAACCTGTCCCAATCTCGTTCATCTTCACGGTCTCTTCTTCTTCCTAAATTTACATCATAAAGTTGTATCATAAATTTGCCTTAATAACAAAATAAATCTATAATTTTTAATTTTATCAATTTAAATTATAAATTTTTATTTATTTTCAAATTAAATTGCTAGTCTATTTTCATTAAGTTAAATTACAAATATATCATTTAAAATTCACTTAAAATACAAATTAACTCTTATAACTAGAAAAATTATAAATGCTCTTTTATCATAATTTTTTATTTAATAGAATTAATTGAAAAAATAAAATTTCTAACAGTTTTTTTATACCATGATAAAATTACTTGAATTATTAATTAAAATAAATTTTACATATTATTAAAAAATATTAATTAAATTGATAATTTATTAATAAGGGACAATTACCAAACAGTTTTGATTAGGGAAGTTATTTGTTGGACAATGGGTTGCATTTTTGTATTGAGTAAATTACACAGACACCCTGATGGTGCATTACACACACCAAATATAAATACTAAATTATACTAAATTCTTTCAGAATAATGACAAGTCCAGATATCGATCCACAGGGACAATTGTGAAATTAAACTAATTTAAATGCTAAAATTTTAAATTAATTTTGATAAAAAGATTGAAGCATTCATAAACTAATAATAATTAAATTAAACAAAGAGAATAAACTAGCAATTATAAGTAAAGATGAATTTACTGATTTGGGGAAAAACCTAGGCAATGAGTTCACCACTAGTTACATAAATAGGGTTTTAAATTAAAATTAATTATGTTACGGTTCGAACGGAATAATGCTTCGCAACTACAAATTCAAAGCATTTAATAAGAAAATCATCACGTTCAATGTACGGGCACGAACTATCTCAAGTAGTACGAATCGTTCACTCTAAACTAGGATAGCGACATGACTCGTCCCTCGTAATATGGTTCGTCTTATACCTTGAATGGGAAAGAATATAAAACAATTGTATGGAAAACATTCAACAATCACAGAAAATCGAATACTTGAAGAAATAATGGAAAATATATATATATATATATATATATATATGAAACATCTAAAACACCATACAATTGTTCAAACCTTTACATAATTAAAAATCAAAAATAAAACCTAATTACATGGCTAGCTTTCAATCAAAACCCTAGAAAAAAAAAAAAAAAATTAGCCACTCATGGAGGAGTGGGAAGAGAAAGAGGATGAAGAAGAAGCCCCCATGGAAGTCTCCTTTAAGCTTGAGAAGAAATTACTTCTTTAAAACTCTAGTGTCCCTTTTCTCCAAAATAAATTTCAAACCCTAATTTTGCCTATTTTTCTTCCTTTTATTCTCTGCAAAACAGACCCAAAATTATTCGCACGCGTCCCTAGGTGGGCCGCTCGAGTGATGGTGGGCCGCACATGCAATGGTCTGGCTGGCTCGAATTTTTTGCTTTTCGCTCAGAGAATCTATTTTCATGCACTTTTTGATTGAATTTACGTGTTACCTGCCAAATCTGTACAAGGGCACAAAACACATCATCTCCACTAAATAAACAATATTGAAAGACTAAAAATGTAACTTCAGTGGCCTTAATGTGGTACTTTTTGGCCTACATCACTTCCCCCAACTTACATTTTACTAGTTCTCAAGCAAAATAAAAGAAATAAGAAAAGTAAAATAACTCTAAGCCACTTTCGTAGGGATCACGATTGCATTTAACATATGCAACAAGCCTTTAAACCACAAGATTACCCCCAGTGGACGAGTATATTCTCGTGAGGGTTTTCGAAAATGATACCCACAAACATCAACATATTCATATCCGTTCAACAACAATTAACCATACTACCCCCCCTGACAATCAACTTATGTGCCACTACAATGTGATATTAAGACATGATGAGTTATTGAAGGCACCGTGGACAAGCATGAAGGAATCTATTGAGTCAAAATCACAATTCAGTTAATACAAAAGTAAAGTCCCCTGTACTTGTGCATGCTAGTAGACACATCATCAGTACCCTCGGTGTAAAGTACAATCTCTATATTAGTTAAATGTTCACAACAATAGCCTAGTGTAACTCATAATAACACCCAACATATACAAAAAAACTAAACTAAACTGTACAATGTCCTGGTCCATTAAGCTTTTTAATCAACCCATGTAACAAGCATTGGGTCAATGACTCCCAAACCAAATAGTTTTAGGGCACTAGGTGTGAAGACAACCCTACGGGCTTAATAACTCAAGTTGAAAAGGCTACAAATCCAAACAAGTTATTCTCCTTATTTTTCCTTAACTGTGCAATGTCTAAGTTCCTTAAGCTTTCTAATTAATCCATGTAGCAAGTATTGGGTCAATGACTCTCAAATCAGGCGGTTTTAGGGCACTAGGTATAGAGACACCCCTACGGGCTTAATAACTCGAGTTAAAAAGGGTATGAATCCAAACAAGTCAAGTGTTTTTTTTTTTAAAAAAAAAAAAAAAGAATCTTGGCTACTCATTTGTTCTTTTCTGCAACCCTAGCCATTATCAATGAAGTACACCAGGGATTATAATAAAGAGGTCACCGCTATGATGGTGCGTTCTTGTGAATTAAGGGATACTCATGACAAGTGTACTAATACCACAAACACAAACAACTATCATAGTGCATACATCACATGTGAGTATTTACCTAATAAACCATTTTCATACAAGCCCACTATGTTCCCTAATTAACATATGCTCATATCATTACTATACTAGCGCAAAGTGAACATTGAGTGAAGTGATGCAATCAAGTGCAGCAAGTACAAACATGAATGGTTATTATAAATACCCTCACTCCCCAACTGGAATACAACATTGTCCTCAATGTAAGCAATTGTACATGAGATAGTAAAATGAGAGAGAGGATCTTACAAGACAGCACGGACGCACATCCAGCGAGGTGAGGACACCCAAACACACACACACACTTTTTTTTTTTTTTGAACTGTACAGTATAAAAGGGAAAAAAAATAAAACAAAACAAAAATAAATAAAGAAATAAAACAAATAAAATATACAGATATCACTGATGTGGATCCAGCGGTGGTAGGAAATGCCGCTCAAATAGGGCATGCATCAGTGTCCAAGTCTCGAACGTCTCATCATGAACCCTAGCGCTAAGCTAATCAAATCGCTGCTCACTCGAGTCCCGGTATGCGTAGAAGTCAGTTTGCAGAGATGTAACTGACTACTGATACCTATCAAATGCCACCTATGAGTAATCTTGATAGGCTTGATAGTCAGCATGAAGATCAACCATTGATTGCTGAATAGCAGTTTGATTATCCAAAAGAGCCTGATATTGCACCCTCGTCATACGAAATGGTGCTGGCGTTAGCGCTGGTGCTGGTGTGGCGGCGGGCTCTACTGGGGCATCAGTAGGATTGGTTGGAGCATCGAGGAGGAGTAGTGGAGGCGACAAGCGAGCAGTGGTTTGGCGCCAATGGGTTTTTCCATAAAGTGTGGGCGGCGGAAGCTGAACCTCATTGGAGTCGAGTGGGTATGTCCCTTGGGCTTTGATGAACGCGGTGATAAGGTTGGCGAAAGAAATGGCCCATGTAGAACTGCCCCGGGTGTTGCGCACTTTGACTTCATTAAGGATTCAGTGCATCTAGTTGTAGATCAAAGTAGGGATGTCAACCCAAAACCCGATGTCAAATCGGTGCAAGGCACGGAGGAAGTTCCCTCGCTGCTCTTCCTTGTGGCCAAGAGGGATGACATTCTTTTTCAGTACCACATTGAGGAAGAGAAGGCAGCGTGGTAAGTTAACCTGTTGGGTGCTAGTACGGTTGTCATCATCTTGTCGCCCCTCATAAAATTCAGTAACCAGTGCTAGAATGGTGAGTTCCCAAGTGAATACTGGGAACTGTTTTGCATTGATAATGTCCATAGAACAGTGAAGGACCTCAGCAATGGAAGCTTGTGTGACAGCTAACTTCACCCCATCAACAAGGGACAAAAGTACTTCTGGGGCCTCGTCAGTAGTGTACATATTTTGATAAAATACTCGCACAATGCGAGCATACGCCGGTTCAGTGACGGTGCAGACGCCCAAGAGGCCCCGGTCTTCAAGTTGCTGGACACTCCACGCAGTGGCTTGATGGCGCCAGAAGTATTCCACATCAAAGGATGTATCACAGGCAACTGGTTTGTTGGCCCAAGCGTCGGTTGGCACATCCCTAAACGCAATGTTGGCATTGTGAGGCCGTTTGGGTACTCGGCGGGATGATGAAGACATATCTACACAAAATAATTCAACCAACACAACCAAAAAATGTGGAACCATTATATTAGCACTCATCAAATACGACATGTATGCACAAATTACTCAAAACCTCATTGTCATCACACCACCGGAATTTTTTTTTTAAATTATTTATTTAATATGTTATTAAATTAATTACAGAAAATTAACTTACACTAAGTTAGCATGAGACAAATTTACAAACACACATATGAACTACAGTGCATAAATAAATAAGAAAATAAAATAAAATAAAATAATCTAAGTTAGTAGAAGAAAATAAAATAAAATAAAATAAAATAAAAATTTAGAAAACAAAAACAAAAACTAAACATTTAAACTGCAATTAAATCACTAAATAAAAATAAAACTACATCACTAACTAAACAATTAAACAAAAATAAAAATAAAAATAAAAACAATCCACTACCCAATTAAACTAACAAGAACCACTAACTAAACAATTTAAACTAAACAACTACAGTATATAAAAATAAGCTAAATTATTATTATGATTATTACCTTTATTTTTGAGCTTTTTTTTAAATATATTTATTTTAATAAAAACCCAATCACCACCCAAATAAAAATTTAAACAATTTCTACCTTCAATGCACATTTGAAATAAAAAAAATAGAACATCGATTTTTATTATTATTTTTTTTAAAGGATGAACACTAGATCTCTATTAAACTAACCTTAAATCTCACTACAATAGAAGATTGACAGAAGAAATATAAAGTTTTAAACAA